GTGTCATTCAATTGTTTGGCTATGTAATAACCTAATCATTCCTTTTGTGAAGAGCGTTTAAGTTGTATCCAGCCACTTGCTCCTAAGAAATTGAAGCTACTATCACTGTGTATACTTCTTTATAAATTTGTTCCATGTAAATATTGGGCAAATTCCTAAATGTAGATTTTGACAGAAAGGGTATATATTTACATTTGTTAGATTTTTTTTTTTTTTTTTTTGCCAAATTGGCCTCCAAAAGAATTGCATCTATTTATTTGCATTTCCACCACCAGCATGTGGAACAACATGGATTTGGAAGTCAGGTATGGGTCATTAAATCCTGGCTGAGCCACTTGGGGCAGCCATAAAGACTGACCCTGTGTCCTACAGCTGAGAAGCCTAGATCCCGGAAGGATACAAAGTATGCAACACAGAGAGGCACACAAACACTGCCTACACTACCATCTCTCAACCTTCAGTGTCTTCAGGGCGATGGGTCCTCTTCCATTCCCTTGCCACACAGTAACCCACAAGAACAAGGCTTGAAGTGCTTTAAGTCTGGAAAAGACTGTAAGGACATATTTTCTGCAGTGAAAACAGCTCACTTTCAAGTCTGACTTTAGTCTTGGAGATCTGGTCTTCATCTTAGGTCAGAGTTCACCTAGTTGTCCTATCCCAGTGCCATCCATGTTGACTTCCTTTGTCACAGGAACTGATCAAGCCGCCAAACCATAGACTCACTGTTGATTACCTGGGCCCTGCCTCTCTGAGCCCAGGTTCATATGTCAGAGTCACAGTAGGAGGCTGTTATCTGGCTTTAGCCCTGCCCACTGCCTAATGGGACATCTTTCCATCCTCCCCTCCCAAGCTATTACCCCACCTTTAAAAAGGATGCAATGAGCTGGGTGTTAGTGGTGCACGCTTTTAATCCCAACACTCAGGAGGCAGAGGCAAGCAGCTCTCTTTGAGTTTGAGACCAGCCTGATCTATATATCTATTTCGAGGATAGCCAAGGCCATACAAAGAAACACTGTCTCATAAGACAAAAACGGGGCTGGAGAGATAGCTCAATGGTGAAGAGCACTGGCTGCTCTTCCAGAGGTCCTGAGTTCAGTTCCCAGAAACCACATGGTGGCTCGCAACCACCTGTAATGAAATCTGGTACTCTCTTGTGGCCTGAAATTATACATGCAAACAGAACACTGTATTTATAATAAGTAAAATCTTTTTTTAAAAAATGCAATGAAGGTGACTTCAGTGGGCTTATCCAGCTTCCTGCTAGATCAGTTAAATTATTCTAGATGCAGCGAAAGGGGAAGGAAGAAAAGTAAGGAAGGAAATAAATTCAGGCCTGGACTCATCCCCAGAGAGACAATTATTATGTTCAGTATTATGATACCACTCCTGGGCTGCACCAGTCCCAGCCACAGCTCTAGGATGTGGTTCTAATTACTACCCAACTCCCTCTTGACTAGCCTCTGACAATATCTAGCTGACTAAATCTTCTGCATTTATCGTGAGTTGGTGTGTATATGTATGTGTCACTTTTATGTCAGAAAACGGAGAATTGAAATTTTCCTGAAATCCTGCAACATGACATAACCAGTTTGTTTCCCTCCTGGACTCTTGCTGGGTTTGCTTTGTTAAAGCAGGAGGAGCCAATGAGAACACCAGAGCGTCTTGTCCCTGGACTATTTTCTTTTGGACCCAGTGGCCAAGAAAAAACATTGGACTTCTCCATGTGTTTTCCTGAGTGCTATTCAGGAAACGTGTTTTTAAAAGCCCCCTGAATGGGGCTGGAGAGATGGCTCAGTGGTTAAGAACACTGACTGTTCTTCCAGAGGTCCTGAATTCATTTCCCAGCAAACCACATGGTGGCTCACAACCACCTTGAATGAGATTTGGTGCTCTCTGCTAGGCAGGCAGGCAGAAGACTGTATACATAATAAATAAAATCTTTAAAAAAAAAAAAAAAAAAAGTTCCCTGAAAGGAACCTGTGAGTAAGTGTCACAGGCTTGTGAGCCAAACACACCAGTAAGGGGCAGGGTGAACTGGGTGAAGACCTGTGGATAATTCCTGCCATGATCTCAGTTCAGCCCTCAACTGTAACTTGGGAGTGAGAATATAAACTGCCTCAGATCCAGGAGAACTAAATAAGGTAATGTGCAGATGAACTGAAGATAGTGACTAGTGGATATACTTCCAGTAGACACGGTACCCAGAGTATGTCTGAATCTTGCCTGGTGTCAAGACTCCAGAGGCTTACATCTGTGGGAGAGTCTTAAGAACAGGCTTGGGCCAGGACTGGGGTAGCAGGAGCTCTACACCAGGACTTGTTTCTTATCCCTGTGGTGTCAGGATCAGTGAGGTTCTAGGCAGTTCAGGCAGCAATCCTCACACCTGTTGATCAGCCCGAGGAAAGTTCCATAGAGGAGTACACACAGCCTGGAAGCCACTGTGGCTTGCTTGAAATTCACAGAGAGGAATGGGAGCAACAGCTAAACTGGTTTCCACAAGACTAGGACAGTCCCTCCACTGGACCTGAGTCCAGTTTTTGCCAAAGAGAAAGAGAATCTTCACCCACTTTGTTGTTTTGGCTCCTTTTTTTTTTTTTTTTTTTTTTTTTTTTTTTTAAAATGAACAGAATCTCATGTAGCCCAGGCCTGCCTCCAACTCAGGGTGACCTTGAATTTCTGATCCTCTTGCCCTCTAAGTGTTAGAATTCCAGGCATAACATACAGTACTGCTTTATGTGGTGCAGAAGGTTGAATGTATGAGGGGTTTTGTGCAAGCTAAGCAGGCATCCCTTTCAAATAGTTCTGCGACCTTAGGCAACCTCCTACCGCTTCTCTGGTTCTCACTCCACGCACAGGCCATTCCAGTTTTTAGTAGGGACCCTAGAGGTCTCTCCCTTGCTGGCCCTGGCTCTTCCTCAGGGATTCACATGAACTCCCTTAGGAGAGCAGGAGGGGCAGAAGGGTCCCTGTAACCAGCCAGGAGTGACTTACATTTCCTGGGTAATTCTTAGGATCATCAAAATAGAGATCACTTCTCCTTGAGGTATGACAAAAACATCTGGAGGGACTTGGCCCTGATGGTGTGGCTGGCAGCAGCCTTCCAGGACTCACCCTGGTATCCCTGCATGTGCCTCCTTTTCAACAGATATAGCCTTCAGCTCAGAGTCCCAATGGAAGAGCACTCAGGAGAGTCAGGTTAGGAACAGCTCTATGTGCCCCGGTGGAGGAGCCCTACCCAGTTGGGAACCTGTCTCTTGAGATTTTGATTTTGTGGTACGGCGGCCTAGAGAAATGATTCAGAGGTTAAGAGCACTTGCTGCTCATGCAGAGTACCTGGGTTCAGTTCCCAGCCAACCACATAACAGCTCCTCCATAACTTCAGTTTAACGAGATCTGACCTGTGTGGGCACCATACACATATACAGTGAGTGCACTTACATACATACAGGCAAAACATTCATACACATAAAAATTTTTGTTTTGTTTTGTTTTTTGAGACAGGGTTTCTCTGTGTAGCTTTGGATCCTGTTATGGAACTCATTCTGTAGATCAGGCTGGCCTGGAACTCACTGAGATCCACCTGTCTCTGCTCCCAACTGCTGGGGATTAAAGGTATGTGCCACCACTGCCCCGCCTAAAACATTTTTTTTAACAAAGAAAAAGGATTAAGGATGGGTTGAGGATGTAGTTGGCAGATGGCTTTCCTGACCCACACAAAGCCAAGGATCAGTTCCTAGCACCATATGAGATGGGGGCACACATCTGTAATGACAGCACTTGGGAGGTGTTGGCACAGGCAAGAGTATCATACATTCACGGTCATACTCAGCTACATAGACCATGTTTCAAAAGAAAAGGCTGCAGGGTGTCATACAGAACAACTCAGCTAGGGTAGTAGCTAGCTTGAATGACAACCTTCAAGCCTCACTTTGCTCCTTTGAACAAAATGATCCATCATCACAAGTGGTTAGGAGAAAAAGGCTGCAGAGAGCAGAGCAAGGGTGAGGCCTGGGTGATCCTTAATAATGGTGACCACTGAGAGAGTTAGTCTTTCCCAAGAGAACGGCAGGAGAAAAAACAAAACAACAAACCTCGGTTGACCAGGCAACTAGTGACCCCTAGTGGCCACTGAGAGCTGGGCCAAGACTGGGGCAAAGTTTGAACTGTGGAAATGTCCCATTCCTGGAACCTTTGACTATTGGACTTGTTGATCGAGAGAATGTGACCACTCAGGAAGCATTTCCTGTGGCTTCTGAGCCAGGCCTGGATGCAGAGAATACTGTTCCTACTCTTACACTTGCTCCCAGATTTAAGAAGGGAAGCAAACTGGAAGTGAGAGGCTCTTACCCAACTGGCAGGTGAGGGTAGGCTGTCAATAAAGGGACCCCAAAAAAGACAAGTTGAATTACCATTGGAAAAGGCAAGGACACTGAAGGCAGAGAAAGACACAATGTTAGGACACCAAAGTGCTGACCACACTGACCCTGACACTGTAGATGCTAAGGGGAGGGACAGTAAATGCCAGCCATCCCAGCACTGAGGCTGAGGCTACATTGCCTCAAGTTCTGAGCCTACCCTGAGCTATTACATGTGTACCTGACTAGCCAGGGTTACAGAACATGACTATGTCCAAAACAGTAACACCAGCTAAGGAGATTGCTTCTGGTGAGGACGAGACTAGAGTAAAGGCCTTTGGAGAGGAGCACCGACAGACGCAGCAGCCCCAGACTGGCGCTTTGAGGAGGAGACAGTGGCAGGAGGCAGGCAGCCTATCGTCCAGATGGGACTGCAGGCCAGGACAGGGTCCCGGTCTTTCTGATGTCACTAGCTTATTAGGGCCCTTTCCACAAAGACCACCCACTAGCCCCCAAGAGCTGCTGCTCTTCACTGCCCATGCTTGGGCCTTTCTTCATGCCATTCCACTGTTAGACTCAACAGCCAATCTCTGTGTACCCCTACCCCCAACCACTAACAAATGCTTTAAAGAGGCAAGACACAGATACAGGTTTTTTCCTCTTTGAGGAAGATAAGCAAATAGAGATTTTAAAAAATTGTAATCCCTAACTCACACTTTGATTTTAAACAAACAGGCCAGGTCCTGCCAGGCCCTTGCATAAGTTACAGTTGAGCCAAACCCCAGCTCTGGAGTCCTGGGATTAAAGGCGTGCTGCACCACAGTGCCGGAGTCCTATCAGAGGACAGCTGTTCTCTGGCTTCTGGCTTCAGAAGAGTGTTCCAATCCACACAGGGAAACTGTGTCTCTAGTGCCAGAGCACCACCTTCCTGCCTTGGTCCACACTCACAACATGGTTTCCAGAGAAGCACCAGGCCACAGCATTGACAGCAGCGCTGAAGAGAAAAGAGACAGACCTCAGGAGAGCAGCAGGAGCAGGCAAGCAGCCTGACTCTGCCTCTCAACATCCAACCTAGGCAGTTAGAGAAGCTTCACTAAGCCGAGAGTATTTCCTCATCTCTAAAACGGGCTCCCAGGACTGTGGCAATGATGGACCCAAATGCTTTGGGGGGGGGCATCTGCTCACCAGTGGGGTCCCTGTAGACTGCTCTCCAGTTTCCCAGTGTCCACATCCCAGATGTACAGGGCTCCATCTGAGGAGCCTGCCAGTGCATAGCTTCTGTCAGGGCTGTACAGGTCACAGCAGAACACAAGGGGTTCAGCAGACAGACAAGACACACACATGCAAGCACGCACACACGCACCCTCCCAGACACACCTGAACACAGCTTTGGTCCAGTCAGAGCTGCACTTGAAGCCATCCGCCCTGAGGACAGAACAGGGCTGGAGTTAGAATGCAGGCTGCTTCCAGTGTGCCAGTTCTCCTCCAGATGTGAGAAGAGGCCAGCACTTCAGCAGGTCCTAGGCTAGAGGAACTACCAGGGAGTGCCCCCCAGGGCCTTGCACAGAGAGGCTCAACAGACCCAGGCCAGTACCTGAACACCTGTCGGATATTGTTGATTCGCAGGTCGATGACCTTGAGTGTATTGTCTCGGGAGCAGCTAAGCAGATGCAGCTGGTCATGGCTGAGGCTCAGGGAGGTAACCCGGCCCTGTACAGGGATGACCTGGATGCAGTGGGGGCCCCTGGAGGATAGGGACAGAGCAGGATGAGGGAGAGGCATCCTAGGACACTTCTGATAGGCTGTATGTGGCCGTTTTCCCAGCTAACGTATTCCAGAGGAACCCCAAGCCTGGATGCCTGAGGCTGAGGTTGATTGGACTACCATCCCTTCCCACTAGTCAGCTGTCTTCTTCCATTGAGAGACTGATCTGAGAGCTAGAGCCTTTAGAAGGCTTGGGTCACGTGGGAGGAACAGTGCACAGGCCTGTAATCACAGCTGAAGCAGGAGAATCACAAGTTCTAGAAAACTTTGAGACCCTGTCTCAAAATAAGAACATAAGGGGCTGGTAGCACTCTCCTAGCAGACATAAAGCCCTTGATTAACCCAGCAAAGGAGCACTCTCAAAAAAGAGCGACTGCAGAGACCAGCAAAGCACTAGCCCTGATTTGATCAGCCATTCATGCTTAATGCTAGGTGTATTATGTTATGAAGCAATTATTCTTTTTTTTAATTTTTATTATGTATACTATGTTCTGCCTGCATGTATGCCTGCAGGCCAGGAGAATGGTTGTGAGCCACCATGTGGTTGTTGGGGATTGAATTCAGGACCTCTGGGAGAGCAGCCAGTGCTCTTAACCTCTGAGCCATCTCTCCAGCCCAGAAGCAGCTATTCTTTTGTTGCAGCTTTTTGACTACAACATGGTGACAATATGGAAAAGGTGCTTGTCTACATTGGTTATGAGGCCTGGGAAAGAGTTCAGTCTTGACTGAGAGCCACTAACAAGGTGGCACAGCCCCACAGCCACACTTCCCCAAGGTTCCACAACTCTTCCTGCCACAGCCAGAGAAAGGAACAAAAACTCAGGAGCTTCTACTACCCACAGCCTGTGCCTCTCACCTGCTGTCCCAGAACCGGATCTTCTGGTCATTGTGGCCACTGATGATGATGTGGTCTCCACACACCACGTCATTACAGTAGGAAAGTACATTGATGGTCCTGGAACCTGTGGAGTAATGAGGAGCCCAGAGTCTAAGAGACAGCAGCAGCCACTAAGTGAGAAGACTCTAAGGTCTCCTTCTAAGACTAGGGTACTGGCCTTCCCAGCCCAGGGCTCACCCTGCCTCTAAAGACCAAGGTCAGTCACCAAGAAAGCAGGAAGAGAGCAGCAGTGAGTGACAGAGAAGAAGCCCAAGTGATATGAATCCCAGAGCCACTGCTACAGAGTAAGGTAAGGGACTAGGAGTTGGGGCAAGTGAGCTGAGCCTCACAGTAGGCGCGGCCTAGGTCCCATTCCTTCACAGTCCGGTCTCGACTCCCAGTCACTGCCTGGTGCCTTGTTAGCTTGAATTTGGCAGCTGTCACTTTGTCCTTGTGTCCAGACAGTGTTTCCTGTCCCCACAGAAAGCATAGATTAAGCCAAAGCCCCCAAAATAGCCACTCTACAAATCCTGAGGCATGACCCTTAACCCTTAGGCTGCCTCCCCAACCAGGCCTCACCTTGGACTGTGTCTCCCCGACCTTCCAGAGCTGGGCAGCCTGGTTGTAAGTACCTGCCAAAACCTGGGAGCCCTAGAGAGAGGGAGAAGTTCTGGGCCTGGCAGGGGCATTGACCCTAAAGCCAGAAAGCCAGGACAGACTGCCTCAATGCATTCCTGTCACTGAGGCCGGTAGAGCCATGGCCTAGAGAGGTGAGGGCAGCTCCTCTAGGGCAGGTTCTAAGATACACACAATGTGCTCTTAGGCCCCAGAGCCCCACTGCCCTGTGTAGAGACTGAGGTGACATCCATGCCACTGGGACAAAGTCTCCTTACCGAGGGGTCAAAATCCATGCTGGTGATGCTGCCACCAGCTCCTTCGAGGGTCTGGTTGGCCTCCAGGCGACCTAAAAGAACAGGGGAAGGGATAGTAAATGAGGTGATTAGCCTTACAAAATAGAGGAACTCAGATACCGAGCAGAAAGTAGATGACCAAATGGCTGGGTCTGGCCTGGAGCCTGTGTGGAGAGTGCACCACCTATAACTGCTGTACAGCTCTAGGAGAACCAGGCAGTTCACAATGCTAGAGAAGACCAGAGAGGAGGGACTGTCCCTAGGTCACACAGCAGCCCAGGCCAGCTGGGAACCCACTTCTAGGAAACCTTCAAGAGTCAGTGCTGAGTCCCTCTGCCTACAGAGCACAGAGCCTAAAATGAGGTAGAGAGTTGGTGTGGATCACCTCATGATTTCTGGAGTCTAAGTGACACTAGAATAGGATGTAGCTATTCTGGGCACATTGATACAGTTAATGCCAGCATTTGGGAGGCAGAGGTACATAGGTTTCTGTTTGAGGTCAGTCTGGTCTACATAGTAAGTTCCAGGGCTACATCATGAAACCCTGTCTAAAAATGAAACAGAGGTGGTTTGGTAGACCTACAGACTTGCCCAAGACTTGGCTCTATACACCTTCAGGATGGATCAGGCGTCCCTACCTCCTCCAGCAGCAGACATTTGGGCTTGGCCCTCCCCATCCTGCAGGTCTGAACCCTTGAGAGCACAAACTCAGGATCCCTCCTCCCTCAGAGTTCTCTAGCCACTGATCGTAGGATCATTCCAGCAGGGAACAGGGGAGGACAGGTCTAAGACCAGGGCCAAACCAGGATCAAGCTGAGAATGGGGTCTGCTAAAAAGTGCTGAGTTAACTTTCAGGAAGGAACTCTTACCTCCCACGACATTCCAGAGATGGATGAGCCGGTCAGCCCCTCCAGTGGCCAGGAGGCTGCTGTTGGGGCCAAAACAAACAGCATTGACCTCAGAGAGATGGGCATCCTGTTAAAAAGGGAGGAAGGGGGAGTTGGCATGCATGCCTCTTCATGCCCACTCACAGGCATTTTCACACCTGTTCCTGGCTTGGCAGTTCCCACGGGGCGGGGGGTGGGGGGGGGTGTCTCTGAAAACCTTAAGTTTCAAATTTGGCCCCAGCAGGTCTTTATGCCTGGAGCCCCTGATGCCCTGTGCCTCATGCTGGGTGTCTGCCTCCTGTCTCACTCTCTCCAGTCTCTGCTATACTATAAAATGCTGTGTGGCTCCCACCACAGGCTACAAGCAAACTCCTCCTGCTGAGGCCCAGCCTTGCTCTGCCAACCCACTTAGCCCATGCTTGTACATTCTCATTAGCACCCCAAACACAAGGCCCAGCTCCTTCCTTACCAAGACATCCTGAGCCTGGGTAGGAATCTGGGCAGATACACACACAGGGATGCTTTGGTACCGATGCTCAGGGGCACCCCCAACTGAGTGACCTCTCCTCTTCTTGAAGCTACAGGGGTGGGGGCAGAAAATCATTCAACAAAACCTGCCAACATGGGGACGTTAAGCTCACCTGAGGCAGCAACAAGAAGCAGACATGGCAGGTGGTAGCACATTCCCCAAGGCAGAGTGAGCGAGGTCCACAACCCAGCCTGACCCCTGTGGAGGTGAGGGCGCTGTACAAAGGGACAAGCAGACACAAGACAGAGTAGTAGATACAAAGAAATGTTAAGGCTGACTGTACACTGAGACAAGCAGACACAAGACAGAGTAGTAGATACAAAGAAATGTTAAGGCTGGCTGGGATTTCAGTAGCAGCATTACCACTGCCAGGCTAAATAACTCTGAACAAATCTTAGACATTTCTGAGCCTGTTTCCCAACTAAGTGGGCATTCTTGATCAACATCAGGCTGGAGCTCTTAGTCCCCTATGAGGACCCTGAATAAGGACAGAGTATTACGAACCTGGAAAATAGTTATCAGGAGTTGGTCTTGAGCTATCCGCCCAGATCCTGCCTGTGGGGCCCAACAAGATGCACATACAGACAGGTATCATATGGATGGACAGACCAAGGCTAGGCTCAGGGAGCCTTTCAGGGGATGCCAATCCCTTCACACATGTGCACACACACTTACTCCAGCAGCCCCTTCACCACATCCACACAGCGGGACAGTGTCAGAGAGGTGGCCGAGGCAGACCTGGGGCAGAATGGAGAGACATACTGAGAGCCTGGCCCATGGTTGTCCCACCAGCAGTCACTGATCCTTATATTTTGCCAGGGACCTTTAGGAAGCTCATGATCACTTGAGGCAAGACCTAGAATGTGATTCATTTGAGAACTATGGGAGACAAAGAGTCTCATTCCCCAGTTGCTCACCAACAAAAACTCCTGAGAGACCAAGTCCCAGCCTGTGGAGAAGGCTAAGAAAGAATGATGCTCCCAGGCTGAGACAATGCAAGGCTAAGATGAGTGGGGAAACCCCAGCTTGTTGAGCAGCCCCCAAAACACCCAATTAAATGTTTATGCTGGGACATTTTGAAACATTAGGGCTGCCAAGAATTGGGGAACCAGTATTTCATGATGCTCTTGCTCATTCACTGTCCCAGGAACACATGTTCCTGAAGGAAATACTTTTGGAAAAGAGTCTTCAAGATAGCAAATGGAAAAGGTGTAGCAGCCCAATGGTAGCCTGGTCAAGATGTAGTAGAAGCCAGATTTGCTGACACATGCCTATAATCCCAGATATTGGAAGTAAAAAGTAGGAAGATCATCCCTTCACGTTATCCTTCACTACACACTGAGTTTGAGGCCAGCCTAGGCTACATGAGACCCTCCCTCCCTCCCTCCCTTCCTCCTTCCCTCTCTCTCTCTCTCTCTCTCTCTCTCTCTCTCTCCTCTCTCCATACATATATGAGTGAGCAGAGAGGCACCCAAAGATTCAAACTCCCATCATAGCTCAAGTGTGAACACACTTTAACACAGGCTCACACTGAGTGTACTCACTAACCTTGCATGCATGCTCCTGTCCCTGTGTGGACACACACATACACGCCTGTCCTCACACAAGCCTGGGACACCTGAGCCTTGGGGTCTTGTTCACTTTTCTCCCAGTGACACTCTTTCATAAGTCTTGTGGCTCACCCTAAGAGCCCTGGTTCTTGGAAGTAGAGAATGGAGTAACTCTGCCTGCCTCCTGGGCACTGAAGTCAGAACAGTGCTGGGCTGTACACAGGCCTCTCCAAAAGCTGGCCCGGGTCGTGGAAGAAGACATGGGCAGCCTTCTGGGTGGGAGCCAGCTCAGGTAAGAGCTGGATGCTCACCTGAAAGGCCTTTTCCACTTCTCACAAGTCTCACTCTCCAGGAACTCAGGAGTATCGCCAGGAGCTAGAGGCACAGTCTTGTCCCTGGTCCCATCTTCTAGAGTGTTTGGAATCCTGGCAGAGAAAAGCAGCTCAATTAGATAAAAGAAGGCCACCCCTCTCTGCCCCAACGGTACACAAGGAGAGGTGACCCCCAGCGCCTAAGAGCCATGACCACACGTGTCTCTCTACACCTGTCCAGGGACCTGACCTGTACACACAGGCACCCAGGTGTACCTGTAGCCACATGCAGGCCTGCAGGAGTGGTGCGGAAAGACTAGGAACACACCCTAGAGCAGCTCCCCAATACCAGAGTCATCCCTGTCCCCTCCCCATTCTTACTCGCTGATGCTCACAGTCCGCTTAGCAGCTCTCTTCAGCTCCTGGGACACCCGAGCTTGGTTGGCCCTGGCAAAGAGAAAAGCATCCTAAAGGATTAAGGAGATGCTTTGCAGGTGAAGTAGTAGCCACCTGATCAGTGAAGGCCCTGAACTCCCCTGCACCGAACTCCCCTGCCCCCCCCCCCCCATCCACATCCTCTCAACCAGGCTAAGTCCAGGAGGCGTGGCCTATTTCTGATGGGGCGTGGCCCAGAGCCTTCACCTCTCTCTGCGCTCATTACGCAGATTGCACTCCGCGGCGGCACGCGCTTTACGCTGCACAAGCCGCTCCAGCAGGTCCCGTGCCTCCTCCTGCAGCCTACGCAGTGCGGCCTCCTGGTGCGCAGCTTGTTCTAGCAGTGCCTGGTAGGCTTCTCTCTGCGCCGCGTTTTCCGCCTGCCGTTCCTCCAGCTGCCTGGACTGCTGCGCCCGCGCCTCCTGTAGCCGTACCACGCAGGCCTGAAGGGCTTCCAGCCTGCAGGGCGGAAACATCAGGCGATGGCCCCGAGAGACCTCTAGGGGGTGCCTGGAGACCCAGGGGAAAATTCTAGAGGCCCTTCCCATCCCTTGCCTGGGACAGAGACCACGCCCGACCCTCATCTCACCTGCCCTGCCGCTCCTCCAGCTGTGACTGCAGGGTGTCTAGAGCTGCGCTCTTCTTGACCACCTGGTAGGCCATCTGGGGAGGACAGGTGGCATGGGAGCCTATCCAGGGTGGACCTAGCCGGCCACCACCCCGCTACTCTGTTCCTGACAAGGAAACCCAGGCTGAGATTACGTTTGGGATCTTGTATAAACCAGCTTCATGGGATAATTGTCAAACCCAGGGCTCTAGAGTCTGACCCCTAAGTGTCAGTCCTAGGTGTGTCCTTTATTTTCTCGGGGACCTTGCGGCAGGAGGAATCTGCTCCATTTCCTTACCTGTAAAATGACAGGGGAGCGCTTTCCTGGTCACAAGGTAACCCAGAATTACTATCAGGAACTTAAAATAGTAACAGACTATTAGCTTGCACTTGTGTCATGCCTTGTCCTAAGCTAACTTGCAATCTCCTTCACATCAAAGTGAAGCACTACCATTTTCATGTTACAGATGAGGGTGCTGACAGGGGTTAGGTGACTTATCCAAAGTTACACAATTTGAACCCAGGCCCCCTAACTACATTATGCTCCATATAAAGTACTGGTGTACTCAGGGCTGCAAGAGGTGTGTGTTTTATTTCCCATCTCCCAACATCTGGCTTCCTAGACCACCCCCCACCACTGTCTACCCAGGCAGCCCCCAGAGAAGTGAAGCACACAAGACTAAGAACAAGAACAGACCAGGGCCAGGCAGTGATGGCGCATACCTTTAATCCCAGCACTAGGGGGGCAGAGACACATGGATCTCTATGAGTTCAAGACCAGCCTGGTCTACAGAGCAAGTTCCAGGACAGTCCAGGACAGGATACAAAGTTATACAAAAACCCTGTCTCTGGGGAAAAAACAAAAAACAAAAAACAACAACAACAAAAAAAAAAAACCCACCAGACTGGGAGTGCACTGTCCACCCTCGATCCTGGCACTGTGAGATGAGGGTGTCTCTGTATCCCTTCAGCTGAGAACTAAGAACCACAGGGGTGTAGCCACATCCTCCCCTTTGGTGCTGAAATACCAGGAAGAACAGATCCAAGGGTAAAGTTGTGCCTATCGGTATGACATGAATGCCAATGTTGCAGGAAATGACAGCAGCTGGGGGCTCTTCTTCTTAACTTGTTCAATGCTTTCTCCCCGGAGCCTGAGGAGCAAGCCAGGGCTGCTCACCTACCTTGACATAATTCCCCATGTTTGAGGCCTGGAGAAGGACCCTGCATAGTCAGGGTGGAGCACCCATTCCATCATAAGCCAATTATAACATTTACCATTTTCCTTTTTTTTTTTTTTTTTAGGTTTTTTGAGGCAGGGTTTCTCTGTAGCTTTGGAGCCTGGCCTCAAACTCTCAGAAATCCACCCGCCTCTGCTCCCCAAGTGCTGGGATTAAAGGCGTGAGCCACCACCACTGCCACCCCAGCTCATCTATCATTTTCAGTACTGAGAAGGACAATTACTACCTCCACTTTGCTCACCTATAACTTTCTTTCAGAGTTCAAATGGCAGATAGAGGTAGAAAGAGATTAGTGGTTGCCAGGAATTAGAGATGTTCTCGTGTGACTGAAAAGGGGTAGCAAGAAAGAGATCTTGTAAACAAACACTGTGATATCCTGATTGATTCACAAATCCCCAAGTGATAATGTCACACCACTGTCAAAATACAACCACACAGCACTCTGGGGAGAGGCTCTCAAATGTCTTCATAACCCACTCCCACCTTGTATTGGGCAGGTGAGGAGGCATGCTATAATGACAGGTGATTACTGTCTCATCAGTCTCCATGGAAACCCACAGGGCCAGGTCTTGTTTAGGGCCACACTCCCTGTTCCTTGGATTGTCAATAAATAGTTGTTGAAAGAATGAATGAAGAATCACAGACAGTCAACTTGTGTGGGTAAAGGTTCAAGTCCAGGGTCCACATCTCTAAGCCCCATTTCCTCCTCTGCAAATATAAAGTTGTGGAGCATTGACAGATTAAGGCAGCGCAGCCAGGACCACTCACTGATTGCCTGGCTGGCTTCTGTGGACTGTCTCTCCCTACCCAACACTCTCAAACCCCACTCTGCTTACCTCACCACAGACCAGCTGCAGTCTCTGCTCCTCTTCCTGCCACTTCACCTTCAGAGAGGCTGGTGATGAGACCTGGTCAGAGACAGGCCCGGAGAACTCCCCCCTGACAATAAGAACAATTCATGGTCCCTCCTTTCACCCCAGTGACAAAAGTATTCCCTAAGAGTGCCCCCATAAATGGCTTGAGGAGCCATTAGCTTGCTCTTGGGGAAGGTGGAAGCCAATCAGAGACCAAGGTCTCAGAAATAAGCTGTCTATGACCCCTGTTCTAGGATGGCCCAGACTTTGCATGCTTGCCAGTGACACTCAAGAAGCACTTGCCAGCACAATGGCACATGCTTGCTTCCCTGGAACTCAGGAGGCTAAACCAGTATTCTGAGATCAAGACCAGTCTGCAAGACCCTATTTAAAAAAAAAAAAAAAGTTCAGGGTTGGAAAGATAGCTCACTTGGTACACTCTTGCCTCAGAAGAATGAGGACCTGAGTTTGGGCACCAGCACCTACATTAAAAAGACCTGGCACACAGCTGGGCAGTGGTGGCACACACCTTTAATCCCAGCACTCGGGAGGCAGAAACAGACGGATCTCTTGTGAGTTCGAGATCAGCCTGGTCTACTGATCAAGTTTCAGGACAGCCTCCAGAGCTACAGAGAAACCCTGTCTTGAAAAAAACGAAAACAAAACAAAACCTGGCACACTTTGCCAGAGCTAAGGAAGTTGAATCAGCCCACTATAGTAGTAAAAGACTTTGTCTCAAAAACTAAGGTGAAACATAATTAAGGAAGACATACGATGTTAACCTTTGGCCTCCAGATGCACACACAAATAGCACATATACACACAAAAGAGAGCCAGATATGGTATGGTGGCACACACCAGTAATCCCAACCCCTCAGACCAGAGGCAGGAAATCAGGGGTTCAGGGTCATTTTCAGCCTACCTAAGCTACATCCTTTATCATTGTCTCCAACTTATCCCCTGCTCTTGTGTTCACTCCCTCTTCTTTCTGTAGCTCTGGGGGGGAGGGGGGGAGAAGACACAGAAGGGGAAAACAGGATTCCGGGATTGGACAGGAGGCAAATGCAGAAAGAGAAGAGTCGGGAAAAGGATTTTTCAGGCAGCCTGCTTAGAGAGGACTCAGGGGCTGTTTACTGTCCCCTCTCCCATCCCCAATAGCCACAACCTGATGAGGTGCCAGGGCTGAGCACTGCAAAAACAAAGAGCACAGCAAAGAGGCAGACATAAGCAGCCTCTGTGATCACTCATACAAACTCACCGGGAGTCCTGATTCTGGGTGGAGGCGACATCATCTGGCTCTAACTTCAACTTCTCTGAGAACTTGGCTAGAAGTTCAGCCTTCTCTAGGAGATGGTTATCTGGGGATGCAAGAGAGCCTTAGACACTTGCCAGCAGACCCCTGATATCCAAATCACCTCAGGCTGGGGTGGTGGCTTCAGACACCTAGGGATCTTGGGAATAGGGAAGCTCCTGGGCTAGGCTCAGCCCCTTCCTGGGGATATCTGCCTGGTGAAGACTCATCATAGCCTTGGCCCACAGGATCACCCAGGAGCCCATCTACTCTCCCAAGGACAGAAAGACCACCACTGCTGGGAACAGAGATGCCTAGGTCACACTTGATAAAGGACAGAAGGAAAGCAAGGAGATTAATTCATCTCTGCCAGAGGCAAAGTCTGAATCCAGAGCATGAAGAAGCAAACAAACAAAAAAAAAAAACACCTGCCAGTTACCTCCAGGAAGTCACTACCCCTTCAAGGCCTCTACGTTTACAATGAAGTAATTCTCACTTCCACCCAGTAGCTTCCCCCAGGTCAATACTGAAAGTCCTTGGGCAATTATCTAACAAATCTTCCCAGGTTCAGTGGTTTGACCTTGGACACTACTTTCCCCACTACCACCACCACAACCCTTTCCAGTCATTTCTGCTTTTTTTAAAAAAACAGTTCCAGGGCAGACTGGGTTGATAAATTCAGGCCAGGATCCTCATCTCCCTTCCCTCACTGTCACCTGACTGAGGTTCCTGGGCCTGGCCTAATTCTCAAAACTCTACCCCAGACCCCAAGGCTAAAGGCACAGGCCCCCATCCCACACCCCCCCCCCCAGCGACAAGGTCACAATAGGCTTCATTTACCAGGGAGAAATCTGAGGTCAAAGAGTTGAATTACCCATACCACAGACCTGGGTCTCTAGTTCCCCAAACTTGCAGCTCCCCATAGAAGTCTTAAGGATGGCCCTCCCTCAAATAGTCCCACTGCCCATCAGAGCAGTTGGAGAACTAAGGTTGCCTGGAGGTAGAGGTTACAACCCCAAGAAAAGGCCAGCCCCTGGAAAATTCCAAGGAAAAACAAGTTTGATTGTGTGAGTGCATCAAAATTAGTACCCAGTGAAGAAGCTGTAGGGGCTGTGGTCAGACTTTCAGGCCCAAACATACAGTCAGGGTTGACCAGAGGCAGTAAATACAGATGCAATGTATCTCGGCTTGAACTGCCACACCCCCTCCTTACCGAACTGGCCAGAAATAACCATATGAGGGCTTGACTTCCACTGGCACAACAAGCACACTAGAGAAGCCTGGGTCCCCTTCGAACTATGATCCGCTAGGCACCTATGCCAGGATAACTTATCAGTAATAAAATCTACCAAGGTTTCGCTCCTTCCTTTCGGCCACTTAGGCTGCTGTAGCCACGCCTGCCTTCCTTGCCTGAACTTTGGAGACAAAACGGACTGACCAGGCCCCGCACTGAGGAAAGGCTCAAAACCAGCGCGGAGAGACAGAGCTCGTGCCTAGGATGCTCAAGGGAGGCAGAGCTGAGTCTTGAGGGCTAAGCAGCGCCTGGCCTGGAAACGGCAGGCAGGGACCCTGGTCAGTACGAAGAGGGGCGTAAACAGGTTCCCGGTGCAAGGCCGGGAAATGCAGACAGCGCCTCTGCCCTCGAGTCGCGAGCCGAGCGGCGGGACAAGCCCTCTCCCCAGGCGGGGA